TATAAACAAATAGATATTGTACACAAAATATTTTTTATTAATAAGTGTAGAAATTTAGAAGACACTAAAAGGAAACAAATTAATAATTTTATTATTTTTATCCTATTAATTTTTACCATTTTATTCCTCTAATATTAAATAAGTTACAAAAAATTAAAATGAGACTTAAATATAATATTAGACAGAAAGAGAAAAAGGAAAAATTATCACTTTATTTATAAAGACAATTGTAATCTATAGAAAAATGTATTTTAATTTTTTTACCATAAAAATATATTTTCTAAAAAATTATTATATTTTTCAATAAAAATGATATAAAATATTTTATTGCCCCCACTTAATAAATTTTCTGGATCTATCCCTGCTTATACTCCCATATTTGTTTTCACTAGTAATACAAGTGCTCCCTCGAGTGATACATTACGCCCAATAAACTATTTATTCTAAAACTCCTCTATTTGTTCCTTAAGCTCAACAAATTCCTTAGGGAGACATCCTATAAGGTGTTATAGATATGTGTGCAATATCAAGTCTATAGAAAAATTAGTGTTTCTTAAGTGGTAAGCTAGACATGTCCTTAGGTAAAAATTGCAGGAAACTCACTAACTAAAGGAATCTTACTAAGTTCATTGTCTTTCTCAAGTTTCAAACAGGCTAAAATCATGTATACCCTATCATTTTATTTTAAGCAAATTTTTTATCTTTTTAGCACCTAAAAATTCCGCACTCCTACTCTCATCAAAAGAAAAAGACTTTTCAAAGCTATTCAACAGGACATGGTTGGAATATAACCACTTCATTCCAAGGATAATATTTAATTAACTAAGAGACAAATAGATAAGGTCAACCAGAATTTCAACAAGAACTTGTAAAAGACATTATAAAAGGCAATAGAAATATAAAAAAGACTTATAAATTAAAAAATTATCCATACCAAATACTAAAATATTTATTTTATTTTCTATTTTCTATTTTCACTTTTAATTGCAAAACTACTATGTTGTTTGAATTTTTTTTTCTATTATCAAATATTTATACAATAAACAGAGAAAAAAATAAAAATATATTGTTACTACTTCCTTTACAAATATTTGGAAAGAATAAATATATTAGAAATAAAGTGACAAATTTGTAATTAAAAGTAAAAACAGAAAATATTTTCTGAAAGTAGATGACCAAAGAGAAACGAAATGAGATTGGCATATGCGCATATTAAAAGAATGTATTTATAGTTTTTTTTATGAAAGAGTGAAAAATAATAAAGTTGGCATTTAATTGTTTACACATTTTTATTTGATTTAATTAAAAAATTGATTTGGTCTAATATTTTATCAAATTAATTAAACAGAAAGAAGGTATGGAGTGAAATGGAACGTATTTCATCATGTTAACGGTTAACATGTTAATTCATTTTATTTTATCATTAACAATCCAAACAACTCGATACTATTTTATTTTATATTTTTTTTTAACAATTTATATACAGTCTCAAGGTGTGTTCAGAAATTAAGAAGCAAAAGGAAAGAGATCAAATGGAAAGAAAAATTTAAAATTAGAATTACAACTAAATATGTTGTATTTCGATCCAACATATTAACTATTGACAACCACTTAAAAGAGATTGAGAAGCTTTCTAGAGACCCTATACGTATTAACTATTGACAACCACTTAAAAGGGTCATCTTAAATATTGTGACGAAATTAAATTTGTTGTCACAAAAAGGGATGCTGTTTGAGCCTTTGACTTTTGAAGCTTTTGATGCTTCAACACAACCTTCACCCCTTGTTAAGCTGGCATACAAACTAGAAGTATTTTTTTTTATAAAAAAAATTATAAATATGTATTCAAACATATTCTTAAAATAAAAATAAATAAATAAATAAAAGTATTACAAATACATGTTTGGGACAAGAAAGGTGTTGGAAATTGAAGCCACTTTAGTTTCGTGGAATGTCACCACTTAGATGCAACAAGTAGGGATTATAGTTAATGAGGCAAAAGGGATAGATAGAACTATACAAGGGATAACTTTTTGTCACCCATTCTACTATTAAATATAAATTCGTTCCATATTAGCTCACACATATATACGTCTATTAAATGACTATTTAACTATTTATGGATTTTTTGAATGCTCGTAATGTTCAGTGGTATTGCAAATATTTGTTAAAATATAATTTTTTTTAAAATAAAAAATAAAGTAAAAAAAAAACTAATTGTAAAACATATAATAATCAGGACAACTTACATCATATACAATTAGAATCATTTAAGTAATTTTAAATTACGGGCATCCTCAAATTCAAATATGTTAATACTTGCATCCGCTCGTTAATAAGTAGGTGAAGAAAAAAAAGTTATGTACTCTACCTATGGATTCCTGTTAAGTTATCCAAATCTAATTTGCAACAAATTTTACCGGCAATTAATTACTAGTGCATTTCTTTTTTCGTTCTTAACCATAAGAGCTCCTAACAACATTTGCAATAATGATTGCTTTTTATAGTGCCATTCCTAGTCTATGTTTGAGTGTAAATAGCGAGAAAGAAAAATGAAAAGAGAGATAGGAAGAAATTGCCGAATTTTAATAGTTTGTTGGAGAGAAGAAATAACATGGAATGGATGTTTTATTATTATTATTATTATTATTATTATTATTATTATTATTATTATTATTATTATTATTTTAAGTTTCACACACAAATTCTAAAGTGAGTTCACTTTAAATGAAAAAATAATCTTAATAATTGACGATAGAATTAGTACTCAATATTGTGTAAGCATAAACAAAGTGTGCTATAATATTAGTTATAAAATAATTGACATAAAAAAATTATTATTTAGGTTAACAATTATTTTTGTAATATATTATTTTGCTTGTCGCATTTGTATTTGTTGTCATGTTTTTTCCTTCTTATTGTAGTATTTATTTGCATTTTGTCGTTACACTATTTACCTCTTGTTATAGTATTTTTTCATGTTTTGTTATTGCATATTTTCCTTTTCATTCTTCCATCTTTGTGTTTCATTGCCACATTGTCTAGTATTTGCCACCTTTGCCACTACATTAGTCACTTTCACCAACATGTTTGCTTCTAATCCACCACACTATCAAAACAAAAGAAAAGGGAAAGGTAACAAAATCATAAACAAGAAATGTAAAATGAAAGCACAAGAGAAAAATAATTTACCTAAATGTGTAAGATTGAAAAAAGGGAAAAGGTAACAAAATTATAAATAAGAGTCTAAAGTTGAAAAATATGAATTATGTTTTCTAAAATTTTAAATCACTATTTATGTCAAGTGTTATTTCATCTATGATAGAGTTTTTTTTATGTCAGGTGTTATTATATCTGTCATAGAAAGATTATGATCAATTATAAAGTTGACCCTTTTTAACATATTCACTACATCAAAAAATCATTTTTAGTAGCTATTAATATGTTGTTTAGTGGCAATATAAATAACCAATAATTTTTTTTACCAACAATTAACTAATGATCATGTTTCCCTATAGGTAAAAAAGTATTATCGACATTTTTATGGAGTGTTGGTAAAGTTCCATTAAATGGCAAAAAAAAACTAAAAAAAAATAATAATATCAATTTGTTGCTATTTTAATGACCGGTAATTTTTCAATTGCTTTTCCATTCACATACTAACCTTTATGTGTTGCTAGCAAAAGATAGTAAGAAATAGTCAATCCAACAAACTATTTTTTACGTTAATTCTTGTTACGTAGATATACGCACATCAATTCAAATTTATATATTATGAGACATGTTAGTCTTTTTGAAAGTGTAGATTATTTTTAGGCATGTGATACTTTATTTTTGCTTTAAAGTGAAGAAACATTTATTTGTTTTTCCTTCAAAATTTAGAAACCCATAAAAAATTTCTTTATATATTAGTTCTCTTCTAAACACTAATTCCAGGGACAATTGCATATATAATAGTTTATAAAAAAAAAAAAAAAAGAATATTAGTACTTTTGAATTTGGTTTCACCGTTTCATCAATTAAATCAATAAAATAAAGATAATTTTCCATTTGTTTCATCTATCATCTTCATGAGCTTTTATTCTAAAAAAAAAAAAATTGAAGTTCAGTACATGTTTGTATTCACATCCAAAATGTGAAAAATCACGTTTAACGTAGAAGCTACACGTTGTAGCTTCTACGTTAAACGTGATTTTTCACGTTTTGGACGTGAATGCAAACACGCTCTCAATTCAGCATTATACTTTGCAAATTCCTATATATCATATATTTCATCACCCGTACCAATCAAACAAAAACAAAAGTAAACAACAAAATCTTATTCATAAATAGATACTTATTGCATGCATATACTAGGGATGGATTTGTTTCACGTCATGGTTTCTCCATAAGAATACCATGTCTCCTAGCCTAGACAAATTTCCTTAGCACTACCATCCCACACACAACCCTAAATCAAATTGATAGCCATTGAACTAGAAAGCGCACGGTTTAGAAACAATGAAACACAACACTTACTTTAGAGGACGAAATTGCACCATCATGGTGTCATTTTTCACATTCAAAAGGAATCGATGCTCATGTTGAAGAAATTGAAGCTCAGCTTGAAAAATGGAAATAATGGTTTTATCAAATTAATAAATGGAGAGAGAGTGGGGGCATAGAGAGAGAATGAATGCAAATAGGAGAAATAGGGAAGGAAAAAAATGCAGATTAAATAACATATATTCATTAAATTGATTGGTAGAATAGATTATTTTACCCACCCTTATCAATTTATCATCAATTACCGGTAAATAGTAATTTTTAATTTTCTGGCGCGGTGACACTAAGGGCCTTTCTGGCGTTGTGTTGTGGTAAACGGATAACAAGAAACGGTTAAGAGCGATGATGAAACAGAAGAGAACTCGAAACGACAGCGTGTTTTTGATGCCGTTTCAATTTCTGTCTGTCGTAATAAACCTCTCTTCAAATACTTCATTTCCTACGTAACGTAAGTAATCAACTGCTTCTCTTCCTCCTCAATTCTAACTCTCCCTCTCCCCAATCATAATGGCTTCGGTATTATTCAAATATTCTTTCCTTTTTCCTTTTCATAATTATTTGTTTTTATTATCGTTTAATCTAATTGAATACAATGGGCATAAACATGATATGTTTGTTATAATTAAGGACATTAATTAAAGTGATAATGTTGAAATGCAGCAGGAAAATGGTCGACCATTGCCAAAATTCGGGGAGTGGGATGTGAATAATCCTGCCTCAGCCGAAGGCTTTACTGTGATATTCAATAAGGCTAGAGATGAGAAGAAGACTAACAGTGGACTCAACATGACAAACCCACGTAGATCTGATCCTCTCGCCAAGACTCACACTTATAACGATTCTCAATATTCTGCAAAGGTCAACTTAATTCTACTCATTTTTCCTTTTCACTCTCAGCCTACTTTTTTTTTTTTTTCAATTTCTGAAATTAAATTTAAATGCAGAAAAAGTGGTTTTGCTGCGGCTGACTCTACATGGCTTTAGACGCCAAGAGGGTATGCTGATCTGAGTAAGTAGCCCTCTAAAATCCTCATTCTTCTGTGGATCATGTTCTGACAAATCGGGTGGAGCAGGATTCGTTTATGATCCTATTTGTTGTTGTTTTTTTTTTTTTTTTTTTTTTCCCTTTTTTGG